TCCTCTGGACCGGCAAAAGTCCACAACTCAGCCCACCTTTCTCTTCACCTTCTCCGTTTGTTCCCCAGCCACCGTGCACAGTCTTTCGTGCAGTCCCTGGCTAGTAGGGTGATTTTTGGGTTAATTCTTAGGTCCTGCCACCACTCAGGAATCTCCAAGCCGTGTCATCTGTGCCGTCAGGGTCACTCAGTCCGCTGCCAGACCGCAGCTCCGTGTGTCTTCTTTTTTGGTATTTTCATGCAAATTCTTCTGCTAGTTGGGGTTTAGTCTGCTTTTGTATCCTTCCCTTCAAGGCTTAGGGGTCCAAGATTATATCTTCTGTGTCTGTGTTAATTGGTTTCCCTTTTCTTTGTTGAAGAGCGTCTGTGCAGTCCTCGTGCCTAGTTCACCATCTTGCCGGAACTCCCCACTTCTTAACATTTTAAAGAAGTGTTTTACAGCAGGTTTACCCAGTGCAATGCAAGGTCTTATTTTTTGACCTCTGCTTCCATGAGGGTTGATTGTGGATTCAAGTAAAATGAAATCCTTGACAACTTCAATCTTTTCTCCATTTATCATGGTGTTGCTTATTGGTTCAGTTGTGAGAATTTTTGTTTTCTTCATGTTGAGGTGTAATCGACATTAAAGACTGTAGTCTTTGATCTTCATCAGTAAGTGCTTCAAGTCCTTTTCACTTTCAGCAAGCAAGGTTGTGTCATCTGCATATCACAGGTTTTAAATGAGTCTTCCTCCAATCCTTATGTTGCATTCTTCTTCATAGTCCAGCTTCTTAAATTATTTGCTCAACATACATACAGAGTGAATAAGTATGGTCAGAGAATACAATCCTGATGCACACCATTCCTGATTTTAAACCATGTAGTATCCCTTTGTTCTGTTTGAATGACAGCCTCTTGGTCTATATCCTTATGATCACAATTAATTCTGGAATTCCCATTGTTTGTAACATTATATATCATTGTATAAATATAATATATTTGACCAATTCCCTTCTGATGGATATTTAGGTAGTTTCCAACTTTTTAGTATTATAAGTCATGTTGCCATGACTAATATTATATGCATATAATTTGATACAGGAGCTCTGGTAGCATAGTGCCTAAGGCACTTGACTGCTAACCAGAAGGCTGGCGGTTCAAACCCACCAGCCACTCCTCGGAAGGAAGGTTGGGCAATCCTACTTCCGTAGTGATACTGCCTCGGAAACCCAAGGAGGGGTCGCTATGAGTCGGGGCTGACTCGACGGCAAATAACAACAACAACAACAACAACATAATTTGATACATATATGAACATATGCAGACAATAGATTCCTAGATATGGACTTGCTGGACCACCATGTATGTGCATTTATAATTTTGATGGGTATCTTTCCTCTAAATTTTCCTCCATACCAATTTCAGCAATATGTGAGACAATGTTTTTCCACATAAGCTGTTATGAATGATTGATCAGTTTTAAAATGGTTTCAAATGGTATTTCTCAGCGATATTCACTGAAGAAATGTGAGGGTAGAATTTTTAACTACTTTTATTTTGCTGTTGCTTTATATTGATTCATTTGTTATGGTTGTGATGTAGCATGTAACATAGCAGTAGAGCTGTTACACATTTGCTGTCTATTTTATTGTGGAGAAACTCGGACTCATTGTCTTTCACAACTACAGTTATTTCTGGTTATAGATTTTGCTCATAACTTGCTTGTTTTTACTAGTTTCAAGTTTTGGCTTAGTTAGTTTCTTATTACTCATCTATGTTCTTATAGTACATATAATGTAAAAATTATCGTATGGTGGATATAACTGAAAAATAATTAAAAAATCACAAAATACGAATTTTTGATACTTTTAATTAAAATGTCACTCTGTGACTAAAAATGGAATCAATGAACAAAACCTTACATCACATATAGCTGTGGCAGGACTTGTAGTGATCAAAAGAAAAAATAATAAAACACATACACTCTCTCACAAGAAAACAAGCTCATTTTCAGAAATACAGGCCATCAAGACAAAGTAAAGCTCTCTCTTGACTTGGAGACAATTGCCATTTAATGTGCATCATTTTTTTTCTAATAACAAAAATATACCAAATATTTCTGTCATTTACTGCACAGGCATTCTGTTGCCTAGGCATTCATTCAAAACAGGTCATGTGGAAGAATAGGCTTTGGGGTTTTGCTTACACACATTCTTGAGAGAACTTTTCAAGAACTCAAACATTTTTAAGAATCTCCCAAATTTTTGAGGTACAGACAACAAAAATGAAGCCTTTTGCACATACACTACTGCATTGTCAGTTAAGGCAAAATGGCTATACGGGTGGATAGATGGGTAGAAAGGCTGAACTATTAGGTATGTCTATACACCATGTATAGGGTTGGCAGACAATGGTTCTATAAGTGTATTGGTGTGTTCTGTAAGAATTCCCAGATATATATATATAGATATATAGATATATATATAGATATATATATATAGATATATATATATATAGATATATATATAAATAATAGAGCTGATAAGGGACAAGGTTGTAGTCACTTCTTGGACACAGCTACCCAGAGGGAGTGAGAAGTTGGACCTATGGGCTTGGGACCATAGTTGCAGGGGACATCAAGCTCAATTCGCATAACATACTACACAAAACATTGTTCCACCTCCTACTTTGGTGAGTAGCAACTGGGATCTTAAAAGCTTGCAAGCAGTCATCTAGATACAACGATGGGTCTCTCCTTGACCAGAGCAAAGAAGAATGAAGAAAACTAAAGATTCATGGAAACAATTAGTCCAAGAGACTGGTACACCATGTGATCCTCAACTTATACAACTATGAGACCAGAAGAAGTAGATGGTGTATGGCTACCACTGCCAACCACTCAGAGGGGGATCTATGTAGGAGATCCTGGATAGAGTGGGAGAACAACATGGAACAAAACTCAAAATCATTTGGGGGAAAAAAAGGACCAGGTTTGCTGTTGTAATAGAGCCTGATGGAACCCCTGAGACTATGGCCCCTGGCTGCCCTTCAGGTCTGGAATTGAACCCACTCCTGTGGCTTCCAGCCAAACAAAAGACAGGCATATGAGGTAAACATTTACATTAGGTAGATAAACTCCTTGGAGAGAACAATCATGGGAGAATAGAAGGGCTGTGTATGCACAGGAGGACAGCTCAAGGGGCAGGAGTACATGGAGGGAAAGACACAGGGAAGAGGTAACAATGGTGAGGAAGTGGGAGGAGAGTTGTTGCATTGTGGTAAATTGTAGTCAATGTCATGAGACAAAGTATATGTGAACTGCTGTATGGAAAGTGAATTTGCTCTGTAAATTTTCACAAATCACAATTTAAAAAAAAAAAAAAAAGAATCTCCCAATTTTTTTATTGAAATGGATGCCTCTAAGTTATGTGCCCTGTTTGTTTGGTGGTTAATGTATTCTCAGGAATAATAAAGCATCCCCTGGGAGATACAAGTGCTCCAGTTTGGACTTTCTCGAATTGCCCTAACATAGCCATAGAGAATATTATTTCTTTTTTTTCTTTTTTTTTTTTTTTAGGATTTGGGTGAAGATTTACAGAGTAAATTCACTTTTCATACAGCAGTTCACATATGAGAATATTATTTCTGATTGATATTCAGATCTGGAACTGGTTGTGGAGGGAAAGACAAAAGTAAAGAATTAAATTAGCTGTTATTATTTCCAGGCACTATTGGATAAGAAGAATAAAGTTCTTGAACCAAAGAAACCACTGCACTTCCTTCAAAGAAATCCGATACCTCAACCTCGACTTCCAACTCCAACCTTGGAAATGAGTTCCAATGTAAGTTTGAAACTTTTAAATTTGAAATGTAAGTTCAGTATTGCTGTCAATTTATTCTTAGGATACTTTGGGTTAAAAACAAACTTAGCAGTTTGTTTAACTCAAGTGCTAAGTTAAATGTTGTCTTTATTCCTATACATCAAGCATTAAACAACTGCAAAAATAAATAAATGAAATCTTAACTAGTTCTTTTCAAAAATAAAAACACAAAGAATAAAAAATCTTCCCAAGATAAATGGGCTTCAGATTATAATCTTCATGAATGTCAAATAAAGAAGAGTGAATGATGATCAGTTGCCATAACTATCTTCCCACATGCACAAGTGGCTGATGACAATTAAGTTGGAGAGAGATGAAATGCTGTGAGAGGTGTCATTCAGAGAGACAAGGTAGCTTCTTGAGTAGGGACGGCTTAAAAGGGGCACCCTACCCAGGGCTACATATCACCTTTGCAGATCCCCAAATTCAGTGTGGGCAAGGTAACTGGAGTTGGTTAAAATTAAAGATTGACTCAGAAACAGTGTCACAGTGAAGATTTATTACTTTATGGAGAGAACTATAACTAAATGGTAGACCAGTTTTTCCTGTTGATGGATCTGCATATTATCTCCCAATGTAGGGCAATCTATATAAGAAGCTAAATAATATTCCAAAGGTTGATGTGCCTATTGTCATAGAAAGGAGAGTTAATGGGAGAGCTGACTGCTGCCTGTTACACGAATCTGAAGGGTTGCCCCTGTGGAGGAATGGGAATGCTCCCACTGACTGACAGAATATGGTCCCCCAGAGACAGCATCTCATTTGCTAGACTTGGTGCAAAACACTGCCTTTGGTTAACACACTGTTCTTCACATGTGTTAATACCATTAAGTAGACTGTTGCTTGCGTTTCCATTCAGAGAAGCCTTAATTATATTTCAGACCCTATGCTTTCTGCTTTTGATATAGTCTTTTAAAGTAATTTTTGCAGATGGTTGATCTCATCCATTATATTCTGATTTTATCACTTCAGCCACATTCTTGTGAGAGGCACCTCTCTATAGACTCTGACATAGACTAGTTGTAGTCGCTGTTTACTTATGATAAACAACAACAAAAATGATCACAAAAGGGGTGTTATAAGCAATACCTGTTGCTTCAAGAAAGACTTACTGAAAAAGAGTATAGAAAAACTAAAATGGCTTAATTTGTAGGGATAGCATGAAGATGGGTGAATTTTTTGCTTTTGATTTGATCTGTTAACAGTATTTATGATTAAAAAATGAATTTTAATGATAGAGTAAGTAACATGCAGAATACTGTATGATGACTAAGGGCAGGGGCCATATTTTATTTCTCCTTAAATACTTCTGGTATCTAGCACAGTCTCTTTGGGTTGGTATAAGTCTTCAAAAAATATTTGATGCTAACTGCTGCTGATAAAAAAAGTTCTCAAGCCATTTGGCTCTCCTTTTGTTCTTTTAGGAAGAAGAGGATATAGAAATGGCTGTGATCTTCCTTCAGAAGTTACTCCGGGGCAGAGTCGTTCAGAACATGGTGTGTAGGGTACCCACTGTCTCTGTGTCTCCTTTCAAAACAGATTTATGGAGTAAATCTTGCTATGCACTTGACTTCTTGGGGGTGAATTCACTCCTGCACCCTGCTACACTTTTGAATTCAACTTGGAATTAGCTACTCATTCCCTTCTATTGCCTTAGTTTGCCTAGGTGAAAAGTATAGGGTGACCAGTGAGAGAGGAAGGGCCTGTCTACCATTTGCCACAGTCAAAACTAAGGCATTGTGAAACAAAGTTTTCCTTGGAATAATTAAATTCAGGAATTTTCTTACCTGAGTTTTTACTGTTAAATCATCATAAACTGAATAGATTACTTAATTTTCCACAAAACCAAAAAAAAAAAAAAATTGCCATTGAGTCAGTTCTAACTCATGGCAACTCCCATTGAGTTTCCAAGGCTGTAAACTTTACAGAAGTAGATTGACTTATCTTCTCCCACTGAGCAGCTGGTGGGTTTGAACTGCCAACCTTATGGTTAGCAGGCTTACCAATTATGCCACCTGAGCTCCTTACAAGTCATGATACAGTTTTTTGAACCTAGTTAGCAATGCCTGGATTATAAATGAAATAGCTAAATAACTACCATTTGAATCCCTATATATGCCCACATTATATATCCTTTAGGGAGCTCTGGTAGCATAGTGGCTAAGGCATTTGACTGCTAACCAGAAGGCTGGCGGTTCAAACCCACCAGCCACTCCCCAGAAGGAAGATGGGGCAATCTACTTCCGTAGTGATACTGCCTCGGAAACCCAAGGAGGGGTCGCTATGAGTCGGGTCTGACTCGACAGCACATAACAACAACAACATATATCCTTTGTTCTGCACATATCATCTCTCTCTCTCTCTCTTTTTTTTTTTTCCTGTCAGCAACCCTATGTTATAGGCCAGTAACCTGAGTTTGATAGAGATTAAATACCACAGATTAAACCTCTGGTCTTTCTGACTATAAGAAATTAACTAGAGCAAGCACCAAAAAAACTCCAAACTCACTGCCGTCTAGTCAGTCCCGACTCAGCAATCCCACTTTGGGTTTCCAAGGCAGTATCTCTACAGAAGTAGATTGCCCAACCTTCCTTCTGAGGAGTAGCTGGTGGGTTTGAATTGCCAGCCTTCTGGTTAGCAGTCAAATGCCTTACACACTATGCCACCAAGCACACTTAAATGAAAAAGAAATTATAATTAAAAATTTTAATTCATTCTTTAATTGTTTTGTTCTTCAGTCAGCTTTAACTCTTAAGAAACTGAGTTAAGATGAGCAAGTTCAAGGAAGCTAGGAGAGCAACTTAGGTTCACCAAAATTGTTTACTCTTTTTTCCAGTGATTCCCCAGAGAACCCTCACCTTAAGTCTGAACCTTAAGTTCAGATAGAAGATTGTGTATTACAAATCTGGAGCAGATTTACTTGGAAAAATTGCCATGAAAAATATCATCCCAAATTTTTTAGAAAATGAGGGAAAGGTTCTAGTTCTATAATATGATCCTCTAGTTGATTCACTTTTAAGAGGCATTTTAAGAAAGTGGGTAAACAACTAACTGATAACTAAGCCCCTTCTCTGCCTGAGCAGTGGAAGGTGCAGAAAAGAGCAGGGCTGACCTCTAGCTCTGTAGACACTTACTACCCTGCCGATTCTGTTCCCCGGTGTCTCACAAGTTCCTGCATGGCAATCTGGTGCTTAGCATTTGCATGCCTCTCTTTTATTTGATTGGATATAGATGTTTGAAGGGAAAGAAAAGCGATTGGAATTGATCCAGGAGTTGCGTACCAACCATGCTCTACAAGAAGGTGACAGGCTGGTGAAGAGAGCCGAGAAGCAAGTGACTCTGGCCTTACAGCGGCAGAGGAACCTCCATGAGCACAAGGTTCTTCTCTTTTCTTTCTTTTTACTTTCTTGTTTTATTCATTTCCTCACTTGGTGTGTTCTTGTTTTTGGTTTTCCTTATTTAGTTGTTGTTATTGAGAATATACATAGCAGAACATACACCAATTCAACGATTTTTACATGTACATTTCAGTGACATTAATTATATTCATTGGGTTATGCACATACTCTCACCCTCTTTTTCTGAGTTTTTCCTCCTCCATTAACCTAAACTCATTGCCCCCAAAGGCACCTATCTAATCTTTTAGAGTTGCTGCTGTCACTTTGATGCCATATAGATAATTCTTAAAAGAGCATAATGCTCAAGGCAGACTTTTTACTAGTCAAGCTCACCTCCTCTTGGTTTTTATTACTGCACAAGCACCATTATAATAACAATAAATGAAGTGATAAAAAAAAGAAACATCTCACAATCTATCACTCTATCACACTCAGCGTTCTTAAATGATACCGCTGCAGTTCCTAATTTGAATGGGATATTCTCCCACTAAGTTGAAAATTTTATTTTCTTTATTTGCAAAAATTAAAAATTTTTAAAGACTATTTTTTCCAACCAAGATTTGTCCTGCCCAATATTTTTAAGGTATTGGATGGCTCTACAAAACAACAACTACATTTCAACTAAGGGGGACTAGCAATTGACAAAATGAATGAATAAATAATAAAATTAATAAGAAAAAAAAAGTGAGAAATGGGATGTTTTGGCTATCAAGTACTGCTCTAACAGAAAATACTACAAATATGTAGCTTTGAAAGCAGAGTTATTCTCTTACAGTTAGTTTTGAAGGCTAGAAGTCCAAGTTCAAAGTGCCAGCTCTATGGCCTTGCCCTTGACCTTAGGCTTCAGCTCTGCCTCTTTCTCCCAGCCCACTGAAGCTGGAGACTTCTCTTAACTCAGGCAGCTGCTGGCTACTGAGGCTGACAAACCCAAGATTGACAAATAAAATGGCACAGTCCCAAGATTACCAAGCAACATGATAGGCCACTAATTCAAGTCCAGAGACAGTCCCAAGATTGGCGGGAAACATGGCAGGCTGCTGAATGAAGACTCAGCTACATGCAGGGTCCAAACATGCCAAAAACCTCCAGAGATCTTTCTCAAAGCTTTTCCTTATATACAGGAAGCAGACCATATCCCTAAGGCAGCTACTCAGCTGCTCCAGTAGATTCCACCTTGGAGTTGATTACCAGTCTCATCATGGGGAATCCAGCTCCCTAGCCACTCAAAACCAGGCCCAGCCAAGTTGACACAAAACTTAACTACCACATGGGATTTATTTAAAAATATCTGTACATATTATTTCCAAGGTTTGGAGTTGCACATGGCCCATGGTGGTTAATGTACATATTAAGTATATTAATATCATGATACTCTGAGACTCTTATGGTGACCTTCTGGCTCTTTGCCACTTGACACAGCTGAGAATTACAGCCCAATAACTGTAAATATTTTTCCTGTTCCTTTCCAACATTTGTCTATACATATATAATTTTTTAATGTTTTTTACTTTAGTGTAGATATATTTTTACTCCCTTTCCCACTTACCTATAAATTAATCTGAAGAGAAATCAAATTCCACAGAGTTTAGTGTTGTTAAGAAAGTAAAACTTAGAGCAAAGTTAATATAACCCATTTTCAGTAACATCCACAACTCTTGTGTTGTGTGGGAATTAGGCACAAACGGTAAGCAGCTTGAAAATGACTGTATCCCTCTCCCTTTTATGTGGTGGCAGCACCTTAGGTGATTGCTGAGCTTTGGGAGCTGGTGGAGAGAGGGGGGAGACAGATTCCCCAGAAAGCTGTGAGACTCAATAGTGGCACCAGAGAAAGAAGATGAAAAGGAAAATGTGAACACTGGAGTCTCTGAATCTGGAAATCCTAGAGTCCTGGAAATGATGAAGAAGGGGCTGGTTCATATAGGAAACAAAATATCCAGTAAACACTAGGTCTGATTAGAAAAATACACTCCTCGGTCCTTCAAGGTTCCTGCACACACAGCTAAACCAGCCCAGGCTTTTGAACTCATACATCCCATTTCTGTAGATATATACATGACCGATATATCAGCTAAAAGCTAGGGAGGAGTTAATGGGAAAGGCTGTCACATAGCAAGGACTGCCCCGTTTACCTTCACCTAGATAAACCAGTGATCTGCAGGGGTCTGAGGGAGTGGGATCGGCTCCTTTCTCCTCTTTTTATACTTTCTGTGGAAAAGATTTCAGGAAATGCATATTCCCCAATTATGTGACATATTACTGCAACCGAATCACCCCCCCCTAAATATTTTTACTTAATTTTCAAATTAGATTGTATTGTCTGAGCATACCCAGATTTCTTGACATAAATATAAATCTTGGGAATTAAAGATTGCATGTGCCCTCCAAGTAAGAGAGTGCATGCCCTCTGGAGACGAGGAGAGAGTCTGTGATCTCTGAGCTGAGCGACCACTGTTTATGAACAGAAGGAGTAGTGAGACTTTCTGAGCTCACTGTTTCTTTCCATCTCTCCCTGTTATATAAGTAATGCTTAACTTTGAGGTTAGAAAGTATTTGTAGGCTTGTGGGTGGTGGTGAGGATGAGAGTGCTGAGGGAACAGCTACACTTGAATGGCAGTCTCACCCAGGAGCCACACTGCTTTTGAGACCTGTGTTCTTCCCTTCAGCTATAAACCAGAAGGAGAACTGAGCACAGAGGGAAAACTGCCAGCGTTAAAGTGACATATGACTGAAAGAAGAGCTCTTTTCCCTTGTACCTGAGGATAGAAGAGGGAATGGGATGAAGTTGCAAAGGTTACAATCTTAAACATTTTTCTTCTCCATATGTCAAAGGCAGGCCGCAGGGATTCATCAATAGGAATTTGTGGCTTACTCCCAGCCTAGAACTCCACAGGCCCTCTTATTTTACCTCAGTCATCACATAGATATATAGTTCTTTTCCTGCTGTGTTTCAAAAGAGTTGTTAATGGCTTTCAAGGCATTTAAAAGAATAAAAAGCACTAAGGTTTTCTTTCATGTTTTTCAAGATCTTAAAATGCCAAAACTTGTGTGAAAGAACCAGGCTTTAAAAATTAAAAGATATAATGGGTGATTTTCAAGGAGATTCTGTCTGATTAAAGTCCAGTACTATCTTTAATAAAGACCTTGATATTCCCTTCATGTCTGAGGACACACAAGCACTTTACCTTCTGTATAAAATTGAAAAATAGCAACAACATACCCAGTTTGTATGGTTTCTAACAAATGTTTTGCTAAACCGTCTTCATAAATGGAGAACTATAATCCACCAATGACTATCTGAGCAATATACTTTCTCATATCTATGTTTGTAACATAAGTTTTCCTCTTAAGAACCTTTGGGATGGGGTCAGTCTAGAGCTAATATTCCCAATAAAAACTAAATGCACTTTGAAAGTGAATTGCTTGTCAAGAATTCTGAATAATCTAGCATTCCTCCTTATAATCACCATTCATAGCAGAATTTGATTCCTTAAAATTACATTATTATTTTAGGTGTTACTGGTTGAAAACCATTTGGCTGGACTAGAGGGAAGGGCATTGGCAGATATGTTTGACTTCCTGTCCAAAGAGCTGATAAGACTGCAGGAAGAGAGGAGAATCCATGCTTTTGCCATCCTGGCAGAACGACAGCGGCGAATGCGAGAAGCTGAAGAGAGTGGTCGGCGCCAAGTAGAACAAAGGCGCTTACGCGAGCAGGATCAGATATTCAGGGAGGTAAGTGGAAGCAGCTGGATGTATAGAAGCTGTATAATTGTGCAGTTGTTAAGGCATTTGACTGCTAACCAGAAGGTCGGTGGTTCAAACCCACCAGCCACTTCATGGGAGAAAGATGAGGCAGTCTGTATCTGTAAAGATTTATAGCCTTGGAAACTGTATGGGACAGTTCTACTCTATCCTATAGGGTCACTATGAGTTAAAATTGACTTGATGGCAGTGGGTTTGAGTTTTGGAGTCACCACCCTGTGCATAGTAAGCATTCAGCTAATACGTTTTGGTTGGTTGGTTGATACTGTTTGAAATTGGTCATTGGTACTCTTCCAGAAGGAAAGCATAGGGATTCAAGATTATGAACTATGTGTTTTATAAGTAGATACACAGAAAGTATCACATACTCAGAGTCCTACTGCAGTGCCAGTCAATAAGCAGACACTGAGTTGCTCCTGAGTCTCAGACATTTTCTCAGATATAATGAAATATTTAGACATAAGGTAAAAAAGGGTGCTAGCCCCAGGGTGTTCACAATTTGTTGAAGAGACAGATACATATAAAATTAAGTGTGCTGCACTGGAGGCTTATGGTACTTACTGTGTATCTACCTGTAAAACAGGCAAAACTAAACTGTCTTTTTTATAGTTTCACATTTAGGTAGCAAAACGTTGTTGTTGTTGTTGTTGTTGTTGTTGTTGTTGTTGTTGTTGTTGTTGTTGTTTGCCATCGAGTCGGACCCAACTCATAGCGACCCCTCCTTGGGTTGCCGAGGCAGTATCACTATGGAAGTAGATTGCCCAACCTTCCTTCCGAGGAGTGGCTGGTAGGTTTGAACTGCCAGCCTTCTGGTTAGCAGTCAAGTGCCTTAGGCACTATGCTACCAGAGCTCCTAGCAAGACTATAAAATAAAAAGCAAGGAAGTGTTTACCATGGAAGTCATGAGAATGGATAGAGGCTATGGTTGAGAAGAACCCACAGGAGCCTTCTGGGATACTCGCAATGGCTATGTGGGTGCTGCTGGCCTTGTGCTTATTCACTGCACTGTATAGTTTTGGGCTCTGCACTTTTATGTGTATTCTATTTCATAACTTAAAGTGTTAAAAAGAAGCAGTCCAGGGCTGATACGATATTTCAGTGAATTCATCAGAGACCCAGTATGCTTCTAGCTTTCTGCTATTCTATCCCTGAGGCGTGACCCTTGTGGCTCAGTTTAAGATGGCTGCTGGTGGTCCAGTCATCATGTTCACATTCTTTGTTTAAAGAAAAACAAAGTAACTAACTCTTGCCCTTTAAGAATCTTTTCTGCACAGACAACTTCTGCATATATTCTCTTGGTCAGAACTTAGTCATATGGTTGTGCCTAACTCTCATGGGTGCTAGGAAATACAGGCTTTATTCTGGGCAGCTATCTGCCAACCTAACATTCTGGGTTTTTAGCACTTAAGAAAAATTGCAGCGAGGCTATTGGTAGATACTATGTAGTCTCTGCCCAGTTAGTTTGACCAAATCACACTCTTGGTAAGAGCAGAGCCAGGGTCCAAACCACATTAATTGGCTCTGAAGCCCATGATCTTTTCCAATGATGCATGAGTAAGGACCAGGGCTAGATGGATAGGCAGTGTGTTAGAATCAGACTGACTGGATGGGAAAGAAAAGGAATGATCAGTGAAGGGACTACTGACTAATGAATGAAACAAATGTGCTAAGAAAAGTCAATGAATGTGTATTTTTCCTGTCTTATTTATAGTAGCATTCCTGTTCTTACTGGAGGTATTCTGCTTTGTGTAGGTGGTTAAAGTTCACCATAGTACGATAGCCTCCTATCTGGAAGACATAATACTGAATACTGAAGAGAGTACTGCAGAAGAGCAAGCTAGGGCAGAAATTGAGAAGATCGCTGAGGAAATCAATGACATCGCTTATGAAATGGAAAGCCGGTATGTACCAAGAGTACATATGGTTGGGGGGGTCTGGAAGATGACATTATACCTGTAGCCCACATGTTTGTTCCCTCTAGCATCTTAATGCCTGAAAAACTAGATGCAGCAGTTTGAAGCAGGCATTCTAGGGTTGTCAACAGCTCATTGAGGTAGACAAGGCCAGATTTAGTGGAGAAGGAGGGAAAAATAGAAGAAGAAGCAGGGTAAACAACTGGGAAAAATAAAAATAAATGAAACTGCCTGGTGGTGGATGAGATGGTAAGATGGAGAAGCAGAAAACTCTTTAAACAAATCTGAAGAAAACCATGGAGGAATTAAGAAAGCAGGGACACCAGGGAGCTAAGGGTGGCTTTGGGAACTCAGACTACCCACAACAGCAGCTTCTGATGGTAACCTTGGGAACTGAGTTGAGTAAGTGGACAACATTTCTGAGAAACAAAGCAGAAACCTCTCTGGCTCAAGTTGCCACTGAGCTAGGGGCAGAAAGGGAGAAGGGAGGAAACATGCAACAGGCAGGTGGGCCCTGGGCCAAGCTCTCAGCGCAAGGCTCTTCCAAGGATCCAGCTCTTCCAGAATAGCTTTTTAGCACAGAGGGACCCAGAGTATGGAGTTTTTGTGGCTATCTGACCCAAGTGGAAAGTAGTGGCCCCCTAACCATTGGGGTCTTTGCTGGTTTTGAACCACAGGTCTGTGAGTAACAACAAAACATCATCATTGGTAGTTGTCCCAAGCAGACTCAAAACCCTGGAACCAGTGGTAACCATGGAAATGCAGAAAACAGGGACTTGCTACTGGCACCTTTTTTTTTTTTTCTTTTCTTTTCTTCTTCTTTTTTTTCCTTCACCCAATAGAAGAACCACATTAAGCCACCACAACACCTGCTTGTCCCAAATCTAAATCCCCTTCATGACAAACAGAGACCTACACCCACATTCCCTACAGTGATTCCATCAACACAAAAACCCCCAGAGCAACCTAGCACATCTGAATTAATAACCAAAAACAATAAAATACACCAGCTCCACCCTTGCAAAAATATTTAGACATAAAATCAAGGCTAAAGCAATCAATACATAACTAACAGTTAAAGACAACAACTTCAAAAAGTCTAGGAAACAACAGGCAACCTCAAATCAAATGAAACAAACAAACAAACAGGGTAAGACAATAGAAATAAGATCCCAGATAATAATCTCATTAAGCATGGAGGAAGAGGAGGCAATAGAATTATCTGAGAAGGAATTTAGAGGATGTGTTTATAGAACTCTACAAGAGCTTTTGGAAATCTCATACAGAACCAGAACACAGACAGTACCCTGGAAGAACTCAGGAAAACCATTCAAGAACAAAATAACAAGATTAATACACAATCAGAACACATACAAAAACAGCGGTTAGAAATCCAGAAAATGGACACTAAAATTACAGAATTACACAACACATTGGAAGCACAGAAGAGTAGGCTAGAACTGACTGGAGAATGCATTTCCCAACTAGAAGATAAATCCCTTGACACCAGCCTCTGTGAAGAAAAATCAGAACAAAGATTTAAAAGAAATGAAGACAACCTAAGAGTTATATGGGATGACATGAAAAGAAACAACATATACCTCATTGAAATATCAGAACAAAAAGAGGCAAAAAAAAAAAAAAAAGCCACTGAGAAAATTGTGGAAGACTTGCTAACAGAAAATTTCCCCCATATCATGAAGGAAGAAAAGATATTTGTCCAAGAAGCTCAATGAACCCCATACAGGATAGATCCCAAGAGAAATTCACCAAGACATATAATCAAACTCCAAAACCAAAGACAAAAAAAGAAATCTTGCAAGCAGCCCAGGAAAAAAGAAATGTCACCTACAATGGACAAACAATTAAAATCAGTTCTGATTACTCAGCAGAAACCATGCAGGCAAGAAGGCAATGGGACAGCATATATAAAACATAGAAGGAAAAGAACTTCCAACCAAGAATTCTATATCCAGCCAAAATGTCCATCAAATATGAGAGTGAAATCAAGACATTCTCAGACACACAGAAATTAAGAGATTTTGTGGAAACCAGAACAATATTGCAAGAAATGCTTAAGGAAGTCCTTCTAATAAGAACCCACAACAGAGAACAACAAATTATAATCAGGACACATGACACCAACACTAAAACCAAGTCAGAAATACTCAAAATAAGCTCATAAAACATTGTACACAAAGAAACAAGGGAGTCAATCTGCAAACGACAGCAGCAACAAAACAAATAGAGGGAATAAAAGTTATAGGTACGAAACTTCCAAATGGAGAGGAAAACAAGACAATGTCCTTAAAGAACAGACTGTTCCAAAAATATAGAGATAATAATTTACTCCAAGGTAAGCACAGACATATCATCACAGAGAAAAATAACAATCCCCCTAAGCAAACCCAGAAAGAAGGAAAACATATGGGCTTAGTAAGCACAAAGCCAACAATAAAAAAGAAAAGAGAGGAAACACTTGATAACAAAATGAACTCAGCACAGAAAAGTATTTGGACCAAGGAAATCTCTAAAAACATGGCAAAAAACACAATAGAATGACAGCAATCAATTCATACCTATCACTAATTATACTCAGTGTGAATGGACTAAATGCCCCAGTCAAGAGAAAGAGAGTGGCGAACTGGATAAGAAAAGAAGAACCATCAATATGCTGCCTACAAGAGACAAACCTTAGACACAAAGATAAAAACAAATTAAAAATTAAGGGATGGAAAAACATACATCAAGCCAAAGGTAACCAAAGAAGGGCAGGAGTGACAATATTAATTTCTGATAAAATAGACTTCAAAGTGAAAAACATCATAAGGGACAAAGAAGGAGACTATATGATGCTGAAAGGGTGAATTGATCAAGAAGACATTACCATAATATCTATGCACCCAATGAAAGTGCTCCAAAATACATGAAGCAAATATTAACTGAATTGAAAGGGAAAATAGACAACTCTACAATAGTAGTAGGAGAGAGACTTTAACACATCACTTTCAAGGAGGGGCAGATCAACTAGAAAAAAACTCAGTAAAGATATAGAAGAATTCAACAACACAATAAATCATCTCTACCTCATAGACATAGACAGAGCATTCCACCCAACAAAAGCACAATTCACATTCTTCTCCAGTGCACATGGATTATTCTCCAGAATAGACCATATGTTAGGACATAAAACAAACTGCAATAAATTCAAAAACATTGGAATACTACAAAGAATCTTCTCAGAACACAATGCTATAAAATTAGAAATTGATAATAAGAAGATCAAGGAAAAAACATCGGACGTGGAAGTTGAATAATACACTGCTCAAAAATTACTGAGTAATAGAAAAAATAAAATGTGCAATAAAAAATTTCCTAGAAACAAACAAGAATGAAGATATATCTTACCAAAACCTATGGGACACAGCGAAAGCAGTTCTCAGAGGTCAATTCATAGCAATAAATGCACACATCAAAAAAGAGAAAAGAAACAAAACCAACACTCTAACTCAGCAATTCCAACAATTAGAAAAAGAGCAATAAAAGAAACCTACAGTATCCAGAAGCAAGGAAATAATAAAGATCAGAGCAGAAAATAAATGAAACAGAAAACAAAAAAAAGAAAAGAGAGAGAAAATCAACAAAACAAGAAGGTGGTTCTTCAAAAAGATCAACAAAATTGACAAACCATTGGCAAATGTAACAAAAGAAAAGAAAGAGGAGATCCAAGTAACAGGAATAATAAACGAAAAGGGTGACATCACAACAGAACCAACTGAAATAAAAAGGATACTGACAGAATATTATGAAGGACTGTACTCCGACAGATTCAAGAACCTAGAAGAGGTGGACAAGTGTCTAGAAACACAAGACCTACCTAAACTATCCCAGTTGGAAATAGAATACTTGAACAGACCCATAACAAAGGAAGAAATTGAACAGGTCATAAAAAATTTCCCAACAAGAAAAAAGTCCTGGCTTCACTGGAGAATTTTACCAAACATTCAGGAAAGAGTTAACACCTATAGGACTCAAGCTATTCCAGAGCATAGAAAAAGACAGAATACTTCCAAATTCATTTTATGAAACAAGCATAACACTGATACCAAAACTAGGGAAAGACACCACTTAAAAGGAAAACTAGAGACCAATATCCCTCATGAATACAGACCCAAAAATCTTCAACAAAATCATAGCCAACAGAGTCCAACAACATATCAAAACAATAATACATCCTGGCCAAGTGGGATTCATAGCTGGTATGCAAGGATGGTTCAACATCAGAAAAACAATCAATGTAATCCACCACATAAACAAAACAAAAGAACCATATGATCATATCAGTTGATGCAGAAAAGGCATTTGATAAAATCCAACACCATTTGGTAAAATCCTATTCAGAACTCTCAGCAAAATAGAGATAGAAGCGAAATTCTTCAACATGATAAAGGGCATATATGCAAAGCCAACGGCCAACATTATTGTTAATGGAGAAAGACTCAAAGAATTCCTCTTATGAACAGGAACCAGACAAGGATGCCCTCTGTCACCACTTCTATTCACCATTGTATTAGAAGTCTTAGCTAGGACAATAGGTAAGAAAGAAATAAAAGGCATCCAAATTGACAAAGAGGAAGTAAAGCTATCTTTATTTGCAGATGACATGATGCTATTCATAGAAAATCCAAGAGACTCAGCAAAAAAAAAAAAAAACTACTGGAACTAATAGAGAGGTTCAGCAAAGTGGTAGGATACAAGGTCAACACACAAAAATCAGTTGGATTCCTCTACATCAACAAAGAGCCCTCTGAAAAAGAAATAAGAGAAACAATACCATTTACAATAGCTACCCAAAAGATAAAATATCTAGGAATAGATCTTACTGGAGGCACAAAAGCCTATACAAAGAAAACTATAAAGCACTACAATAAGAAACTACAAGAAATTTACATAAATGGAAGAACCTGCCTTGTTCATGGATAGGAAGACTGAATATTGTGAAAATGTCAGTACTACCCAAAGTAATCTACACATTTAATGCAAGCCTGATCCAGATACCAACATTTTTTAAGGATATGGAACCAATTACTAACTTAATATAGAAAGGAAAGAGACATCAGATAAGCAGAGCTCTACTAAAGAAGAAGAACACTCCCAGATCTCAAAACCTACTATATAGCCACAGTAGTTAAAACAGTGTGATAATGGTACAATGATAGACAGATAGACCAATTCAATTCGAATTGAAAACCCAGGAATAGACCCATCCATCTATGGACAGCTGATCTTTGACAAAGGACCAAAACTCCTTAAAAGGGGAAGAGATAGCCTCTTTAGCAAATGGTGCTGGCAAAATTGGATATCCACTTGCAGAAAAATGAAACAAGACCCATACCTCACCTCATACACAAAAATAAACTCAAGTTGGATAAAAGACTTAAATGTAAAACCCAAAACATAAAGTTCATCAAAGATAAAATAGGTAGAAATCTAGGGGCCCTAATTTATGCCATAAATAGACTATCAAGCATAACCCAGAATGCAAAGGAGATGGAAGAGAAGCTAGATGACTGGGACCTTTGAAAAATTAAATTCTTATGCACATCAAAAGACTTTTCCAAAAGGGTGAAAAGAGAACCCACAGATTGGGAGAAAATATTTGTCTATGACATCGGACGAAGGACTTATCTCCAAAATTTATAGAAAATTTCAACACCTCAACGCCAAACAGAAAAACAATCCAATTCAAAAATGGGTAAGGGACATGAACAGACACTTCACTGAAGATGATATGCTGGCAGCCAACAATGAGATATCATTTCACCCCAGCAATAGTAGCAAAGTTCAACAGGACAGAAAATAAATGCTGAGGTTGCAGAGAGATTGGAACTCTCATACACTGCTGATGGGACTATAAAATGGTACAACCATTGTGGCAAACAGTATGGCGTTTCCTTAGAAAACTGAAAATAGAAATACCATTTGAATCAGCAATTCCATTACTAGGAATATATCCTAAAGAGGTGAGAGACAGGACATGAACAGACATATGCACACCCATGTTCATTGCAGTACAATTCACTATGGCAAAGAAATAGAAACCACCTAAATGCCCATCAACAGATGAATGGATAACCAGACTACGGTACATTCACACAATGGGATACTATGCTACATTAAAGAACAATGAAGAATACACGAATCATCTCACAATGTGGATGAACCTGGAGGACATTATGCTTAGTGAAATAAGTCAATCACAGAAGGACAAATATTGTATGAGCCTGATACTGTAGAAAGTCAAGGAAGGGTTTGCTTAGGGAAGGAATTCACTTTGTAGGTTACTGGGGATGGGAGGGAGGGGAAAATTTCGGACTAGTTGGGGGCCACACGCTGAGTTGGGTAAGAGGAGGGATGGTATGGAAAGAGTCTGTGACCAGCATGGTAACATTGGAGAAAGGGAGGACACTGAAATATGCACATAAGGTATAGATAACAGAGGCTAATATCAGTATATCCACAATACTGCATTACCACTAACACTGAACACTAGCCTACAGATAAATACATAGATTACTGAGAATATCAGATGGGGGTCAGTGAACAGGAATATACTCTAGACCAACAATAGATCAGCTGAGGATAATCTTTTTTTTTTTTTTTTAAAGCTTGTTTTACATGCAAAGTAACGTGTACATTTAGTTTCATTCCCCATTTACCATGTCCAACCCTAACCCAGACTCCTCCCCTCCCTACCCTGAAACCTTCCCCCTGTGCCTCTCATATTTATGCACTCTTGTTTGTCCTGCATTTCCTCAATTTGAATGTTGGTCCTCTGGTGTCCCATGGTCTATTGCTCTAAGGGATGTATTATCATAGAGTATGTGGGTGTGTCATCTTGGGTTAAGTGGTCTGTGTGTACATCTTGTTAACTATTGAACTGAGAGCCCACCCCTGGGGGTGAGTTTTATTCCAGGCGCACAGCTGAGGATAATCTTGCACAGATACTACTGATACAAAATAACTACAATCATTACAGAAGCAATAGAAGACAGACATAGAGCAATCCCCTCATAGACAGCCAGATACCATAGGAGAGAGTCCACCAGACCTGCTGACTTAGGACAATAGTACTGGGGGGACACCAGGCTTAATTGGCACAACAAAATACATAAAAATCTTGTTCCACAACTGTGATAGTTGGAGCTGTGTGTCAACTTGGCTGGACCACAATTCTGTGTGGTTTAAGCAATTGTGATGTGGGTTGTTCCAATGATGGGATCAGATGTGTATGTTTTGAGCAGCCAATCCATTGAAAAGGAGTTTCCCTAGGGGTGTGGCCTGCTTCCAGTATATTTATGGACATCCTGGGAAAAGAGACACTCCCCTGTGGACCGGGATTCTGCCTACAACTGTCCGTGAGGCAACAATCCACTATTCAGTCTGGAGATCTTGGATTCATCTTTCGTTGGAGTCAACAGCCGGTACACTGCCTGCCAACCTTGAGCTCCTCAGCCCCTGCAGCTGCATGAGTCGGGAAAAGCCTCCAGCTTGACGTTTGATCCAAGAACTTGGGACTTGCTAGCTTCTATAAGCGTGTGAGCCGTTTTCCTAAGATAAATTTCTCTTTCTCCATATATGTAAGCTTTACTGGTTTTGTTTCTCTAGAGAACCCAGTCTAAAATAACAACCTGCTTTGGTGAGTAGCGACTGGGGTCTTAAAAGCTTTCAAGCAGCCATCTAAGATGCAGCTAATGGTCTCCTATCATCAGAAGTGAAGAAGAGTGAAGAAAACCAAGGGCATTTGGAAAAAATCAGCCCTGGGGCATGATGGACCTTGAGATCAGAAGAACTAGATGGTGCCCGGCTACCAATGCCAACCACTTGGGAAGGGATCAAAACTGGAGACCCTGGATAGCGTGGAAGGAAAAACATGGAACAAAATCCAAAAACACAATAATGACCAGAATTACTGGTCGGATAGAATCTGGTGGGACCCCCAAGACTATGGTCCTGGAATATACTTCAGGCCTGGGATAAAACACTTCCAAGGGCTGGCTCTTAGCCCAACAGTAAATAAGACTTACATGCAGAACACTCAACCCAGGGCAATGAACCTACCTACTCTATGGGGATACATCCCTTGGAGCAATCTGCCATGGGGCACCAGAGGGGCAACATTCACATGAGGAGGAAACGCTGGACAGACAAGAGTGTATAACTAAGAAGGGCACAGGGATGGGGGTGTGTCATGGGGAAGGGAGAGGAGGAGAGTGAATTAGGGTTGGGGATGGTAATTGGGGAGTAAAACCAAATGTACACTAACTGTTTAATGTAAAAACAAGTTCTGCTCTGTAAATTTGCACCTAAAGCACACACACACACAAAGAGTACATACTCTTTGATGAACAGCCCCATTTGCTGTTACTCATTTGTACTTTTCTAGGAGCTTAGGATTTCACCACTAAGGAAAAACAAATATAAACTCATGCTTCACTGTCTATTCTTTTATTAGTATAACTCTTTAGAAGCCAACATGCCTGTACCTTTGTGAAGTAGGAGCACTGGGAATTTGATGCTTGGTTATCCTCTAAAATTTGGATCACTGTCATATTAGTTACTTTTAGAATAGTCCAAAGTATGAAATCAATGGGAATAAGTATGTACAATGCTATTTGGACTTTAATTAGCACAGCAGAACCACCCCAAAGTCTTTGGCTTCCATGTATAAGCTGTATCTCTAACATTCCCTTCTTGGCAGGCAGAAGAAATGAAGGATAGGATCGAAACCACTATTTCCATGGACGTAACCAAGCTCACGGTGCGATATTTTCACTTAATCAAGGAAAAAGATATGGAAGCATTTGAGCAGTGGAGTTCTTTACCTAAGCAAGGAGAATGGAAGTGTAAATTGGCAGCTCAAGTAAGACAACAAAGGAAATAAATTGATTTTGTTTTGTTTTTCAGTCGAACACAGCTTCAGTCAGAGGAGATTGTTGCTGAATTGGTTTATAGGTTCCTAATCCCAGAGGTGCAAAAAGACTTTGTCAAAGAAAAAGGTAAGTCAATGTAAATGCTTTATTTCAGGATTTTAACAAAAATCTGAAATTTTAATATCCCAGAGATTTGAAACTGAGCAGATATATGGGGACATTTCTGAAGGTGAATCACTGAGTTTTCTTGTTTCAGTGCTTTTCAAGGTCTCATTATGCAGGCATAAAGAAAAAAAAAGTCTGCACAACTGGACCAATAAGCAACATCATGATAAACAGAGCAAAAAGAATGAAATTCTCAAAGATTTCATTTTACTTGGATCCACAATCAGTGTCCATGGAAGCAGCAGTCAGGAAATCAAATGATATATTATTGCATATGCATGTGAACCTGGACAACGAATAAGGAAGACTGAAGACTAATTGATGCATTTGAATTATAGTGTTGGTGAATTTGACTGCTAACCAGAAGGCTGGGAGTTCAAACCCACCAGCCACTCCTCAGAAGGAAGGTTGGGCAATCTACTTCTGTAGTGATACTGCCTCAGAAACCCAAGGAGGGGTCGCTATGAGTCAGATCCAACTCGATGGCAGTGGGTACCAGAAGAGCAAACAAATCTGTCCTGGAAGAAGTATGCCAGAATGCTCCTTAGAAGTGAGGATGGTGAGACTTCATCTTACGTACTTTGGATATGTTATCAAGGGGGACCAGTCCCTGGAGAAGGACATCATGCCTGGTAAAGCAGAAAGTCAACAAAGAGGTGGATTGATACAATCACTGCAACAATGGGCTCAGCAAAGCAATGATTATGAGTGTGCCACAGGAATGGGCAGTGTTTTGTTCTGTTGTACATGTGGTTCCTGTTAGTAGGAACTGATGTGATAGCGCCTAACAGCAACAATAGCAATACTCTTATTTTAGGGTTATGGAGAGGATTAAATGAATATTTATGCCAACTGCTTAACACAGTGCCTAACACAAATACTAACTGCTTGACAAATGCTAAATTCTTACATCATCATCATTATAACTCTCTTCTAAAGCCTTCAATGTTTAGTATTATCTATAGTTTGGAGGCTTGATGACAAATATTCTTAGAATATGGAACTTGAACCATCTTCTAAAGCCATAATCTTAGAAATTCATCATTAACCAACAAGTGCCCTCTGTCTGTGTTAGAGATTATTAAGACTCACAAAGGAGTATGGGACGAGGTCTCCACCTATACGTCATTTACAATCCAGATAGACAGCAAAACATAACTCAGATGAAGTACTTCAGTGCTTAATGCGTCCATGCAAACTCTAAAAAAAAAAAAAACATAAAAACCAAACTCACTGCCGTCGAGTCAGATCCGACTCACAGTAACCCCTCCTTGGGTTTCCGAGGCGGTATCACTATGGAGGTAGATTGCCCGTCCTTCCTTCCGAGGAGTAGTTGGTGGGTTTGAACCACCAGCCTTCTGGTTAGCAGTGAAATGCCTTAGGCACTATGTCACCAGAGCTCCCACCTTCCGGTTATCAGTCAGCTAATTTTTATTTAACCCAGTCAGCCCAGAGTCAGAGAATATGTGGTTTGCATAATCATTGTTTCTATCACTTCTCTCTCAAAAACCTTTGGGAGTGGTTTCTTCCATGCTTTCAGAGTAAAAATATTTTTGTTACTTTGACACAGTGAGGAATGCACAGAGGAAGCATATTCTTGCAGCCCACGAAATCATTCACCAACACACTGAAGCTATGATCAGAAAGAAGTTTGCCCAGAAGCAGCAAGATGAAGTCTTGGACACTGAGAAAGCAACTCAGAATGAAGAAAACAGCTAAGGTGGGTGTTCTGGTTACTTAGTGCCACTCTGACAAGAAATATACCACAAAATGGGATGGCCTTAACAAACCAGAGTTTATTCTTACAATCTGGAGGCTTTAAGTCCAAGTTCAAAGTGCCAGGCTCTAGGGGCTGGGTGAAAGCCCCTCAACCCTGGGGTCCAGCTTTGCCTCCTGCTCCTGGCCCACTGGAGCTAAAGGCATTTCTTCACTCAGACAGCTGTTGGCTGCTGAAGCTGAGAAGCCCCAAGTTTGACAAGTAAAAAGGCACAGTCCCGATGTTACCAATCCACATGGCAGGCCATTAACTTAAGTCCATTTTAAGTCCCAAGGTTGACAGAGTATAGCAGGCTGCTGAGCAACGACACAGCTACATGCAGGGTCCAAGCATGCGAAAGGCTAGGGACCATTCCCAAGGTTTCTCCTTAAATTCAGGAAGCAGACCACATCCCAAAGGCAGCTACTCAGCTGCTTCCAGTAGATTCCACCATGGAGTTGATTACCAGCCTCATCATGGGGAGTACTACATCCAGCTGCCCAGCCACTCAACCAAGCCTAGCCAAGTTGACAGACAAACATAACCATCACAGTGGATTTGATTTCTCATCTCCAGTTTTTTTTTTTTCTTTTGCATAAGACAGAAGTAGGAAGAGGCAGAAAAGCCACATCATTCAGCTTTGTACTGTATTCTAACAATCAAAGTGAAAAGATTATCAATTGCTGAGGAATATGAAGTGTTCTCATTTCAACTGGTGTATTTCATTTAGGGTCTGGAATCTGCTATTGAAATTGTCAGTTGAGAATATAGCAATTGAATTGATCCAGAAAACAAGACTGTAGATTATTTTTATGGTTTCTTTTAGCATGTAATTATAGTCCACTACAAATAATCTTCTAGAGTGTGTATGTGTTATAAAAAACTTGTTCTTCTGGAACCAGGCAAGGTATGTTCTAACCAGTTTGTTGGTTGTAAGCACAGTATGAGGCAGGCATAGAGCCTGCCCAATTCAAGCCCAAATGCTTTTTGCAATGACCAGTAAGTGTCGATCTTAGACTTGACTAAACATTCATACTAACAAGAGTGACTTAGGCCACACTTGATATCAGTCTATTCAGACAGGCATGCATTAAACATTTCTCTTTCTACCAGAGCTATTGCTACAGTCCACACAGAATAAAACATAGCGATTTTCATTACAAAGGTTAGACACAAGGAAAAGAGATTTACATTGGTTAGGTACAGAATTTGCCCTAGATTAGAAGCCCTCATGCCCCAGGAGCCAGTATTTCTAATAATTTTGTAGGCTTCTAGGGTCCCCACAATGGACTTACCCAATTGTAAAAGTCAGCACACTCAAGGAAGCTCAAAGCTTATGGCTTTATATTAGGTCTTAATAGTTCATTTATAATTCCTCTCAGTCCAGATGTGGTTTACCAACCTGGGCCATTTTTATCTTAAGAAATTTTGCTTAGTAACATAACTGATACAAGCCACCTTATTAAGTTATTAGGAATAGAGAGCTGGAGAGTCAATTGAAAATAAAATTCTCATGTAGAAGGAGAAAGAGAGGTAACCCATTCATTGCTTATACCTTCTCTTGCAACCTTCCCACAGTGGAGGCACATCTTCTACCATATTGGCTCAAGGGTGTGCTGTCAGGATTAGAGGAAGGCACTAATGTTTATGGAGAAATTTTAGCCTGGCGTTCTGAAGATTTGGGTGTTGGCCAGCTCTGCCACAAACTCAGTGTGTAATCTTATATAAATAATTTCCCTTTGCTTAGATTTGCCTATGCATATGTGCCCAAGGGACCTTTGGCAGGGGAATCTATCTGCAGTTGGAAACCTTAAGTCCTAATCAAAGGAGATCATGGTAGGAAGGTTGAGATAAAGAGGAAGTTAAGAAAGAGAGCAGGAGTAAACTAAAATAGAAATCTTAAATTTTAAGCTGAGGCTAATACTGAAATAATCTCTGAAATCATTGAAGATGTAAGACATGGTTAGTACATATATTTACATAGAAATATTATATGCTAACTATTAACAAACAAACAAACAAAAAAGACAGCAAACCCATTGCCATTAAGTCAATTCCTACTCATGAGGACCCCCTATAGGACAGAGTAGAACTGCCCCATAGGGTTTCCTAGGCTGTAAATCTTTATGGACACACACTTCTCATCTTGCTCCTGTGGAGCAGCTAGTGAGTCTAATCACTGCTCTTTTGATTATCAGCCTAATGCTTTAACCACTATGCAACCAGAGCTCTATATAGTGTTTACATAATATAAATTCAAGGACCAAATCATTTTGCCTATCTTATTATTGTGATACAAAATCAGCCTTAGTGGTGGAGTAGTCATTTTTCTCACATATAAGTTTAATGTGATTGATAACTTATTGAATACCTCTACATTTACTTCTTAGTATGATACCTGTTCCATGACATCCATAGTGACCTATGAAATCAAGCCAGAGGAGTGCTAAAATGATCTTCTTTTATACTTAGAAAGAATAAAATATTTTTTATTAAACATATGTTAAGCATATATACCACCAAACCCACTCCTGTTGAGTTGATTCCAACTCATAGCAATCCTATAGTATAGAGTAGAACTGCCCCATAGGGTTTCCAAGGCTGTAATTTTTATGAAGCAAACTGCCACATCTTTTTACCACAGAGCAGCTGGTGGGTTCCAACTGCTAGCCTTTTGATCAGCAGCTGAGTGCTTTAAACACTGTGCAACCAGGGCTCTTTAAAGCATATATAACCAAAACAAAACCAAACCCACTGCCATCAAATTGATTCTGACTCATAGTGACCCCCCATTGGGTTTCCAAGGCTGTAAATCTTTATGGAAGTAGATTGCCCCATCTTCATCCTGCAGAGCAGCTTGTGGATTTGAACCACTGACCTTTTGGTTAGAAGCCCAATGCCATAACCACAACACCACAAGTGCTCCTTTGAAGCATATATACTAAAAATAACCCAAACTCACTGCCATCGAGTTGGTTTCAACCCCCTTTGGGTTTCCAAGGTGGTAAATCTTTACAGAAGTAGATTGCCCAGCTTTCCTTCTCTGGAGTGGCTAGGGAGTTTGAACTGTCAACCTTTAGCCGTCAAATGCCTTAGGCACTGTGCCACCAGAGCTCCTTTGAAGCATATACAGTAGTTATAAAATCTGGTTGCCAGACTAACTGACAACTCAGCAAAATAAGATCAACCAACACTTTATTAAATGGTTAAAATATGAAGCTTGGTTGCCCTCAAAGAATACATCCTTCTCTCTTTTTTTTCTCAGAGACAAGTAGAAAAGGGTAGATGTGGGATTTTTCAGTAATGCTTAAGAAAAGTGGTGATAGGTACAAACCATTGATTCAAACATTTTCAAAAAATCTCTTGAAGGCAAGAATTGCTGTTATTATTATGTGCCATCAAGTCAGTTCCAACTCATCGCCGCCCTATGTGCAACAGAACCAAACACTGCTTAGTTCTGTGCCATCCTTACAATTAGTCATTGCCATGTTTGAGCCTATTGTTGCTGTTACTGCATCAATACATCTTGTTGAAGGGCTTCTTCTTTTTTGCTGACCCTCTGCTTTACCAAGCATGATGTCCTTCTTCAGGGACTGGTCCTTCTTGATAACATGTCCAAAGTACATGAGATTACATCTCACCATCTTTGCTTCTAAGGAACATTCTGGCTGTACTTCTAAGACAAATTTGTTTGCTCTTTTGGCAGCCCATGGTATATTCAGTATTCTTCACCCACACCATAATTCAAAGGCATCAATTTTTCTTTGGTCTTCCTTATTCATTATTCAGCTTTCACATGCATATGAGGCTATTGAAAATATGAAGGCTTGGGCCAGGCATACCTTAGTCCTTAAAGTGACTAGTAAGTCCTAGTAAGTGCTTGAAGCCCTCTTCACTTTCAGCAAGTAAGGTTATGTCATCTATATATTACAGACTATTAATAAGTCTTCCTGAAATTCTGATTCTGCATTCTTCTTTATATAGTCCAGCTTCTTGGATTATTTGCCCAGCATACAGATTGAACAAGTATGGTGAAAGAATACAACCCTGACACACACCATTCCTGATTTTAAACCACACAGTATCCCCTTATTGTGTTGAAATAGCTGGCTCTTTGTGTATGTATATGATCTGCGTAAGTACAGTAAAATGGTCTGAAATTCCCATTCTTCACAATGTTGTTCATGATTTTTTATGATCCACACAATTAAATGCCTTTGCGTGGTCAATAAAACACAGGTATATATCTTCCTGGTGTTCTCTGCTTTCAGCCAAGATCCATCTGACATTAGCAATGATTGCCCTCATTCCACATCCTCTTCTAAACCAGTTTGAAATTCTGGCAGTTCCCTGGCTGCAACCTTTTTGAATTATCTTCAGCAAGACTTGCATGTGATAGTAATTATATTGTTTGATAATTTCTGCATTCTATTAGACCACCTTTCTTTGGAATGGGCACAAATATGGACCTCTTCTAATCAGTTGACCTGGTAGCTGTCTTCCAAATTTCCTGGCATAGATGAGTGATTGCTTCCAGTCTTGCATTCATTTGTTGAAACATCTCAGTTGGTATTGAGCCTTGTTTTTTGCCAGTGTCTTCAGAGTCACTGTACCAAAAATAATTGGTTGGTCTTTAATCATTTCAAAAGTAAGTATATGATCAAGAACCAGTGGTACTGAAGGAAGAAGTCCAATGTGCACTGAAAGCACTCCAAAGGGCAATAGAGAGCTAATAAAATAGTGGAGAATCTTTGGGCCAAGTATAAAAGTTAAGCATGGTATTTGGAGCCATTTTTCCCCTGGGGAAATATGCCAATTCTGGAAAACATTGCTAAAAGGCTGAACAGTGCTTTTCACAGCTTTGAAAGGATAAGGGGGCAAGAATTGGAGTAAAGTTTAGGCCCTGGTAAGTATATTCCATTTAAGTTGAGACTCCAAAAACTATGCTTCAATAGAAAGGGTT